TAAATAGGTACCCAGGAAGTGTGGGCCGCCTTCCTTCTGCAGACTGTTTCCAGCACTCCATCAGATGTCAATGGCCAGCACATTAGGCTAAAAGCTGGGAGGTTGAACATTTCAGGCCAGGGGTCAGGGATACGTGGGTTCCTAGAATACTCTTGATTACATCTGGCTAAGCAAAGAATTTCTTCCTGTCCTCTTGCAGCATTTCAGCATGATTTGCAAAATAGGCCTAATCACAATTTTCAACTTCTTTCTTGATGACTGAAGAAAATCTGTAAACTATCAAGAGTTAGGAAAAAGCAAAATTCTCAGAGATCACATCAGTTGTGTCCCAGTTTAGTCTTTTTAAGAAATCTTGACACCTCAGCCTTGCCATAGTTCAGCCTTGAAAGTCCATTTAAGACTGTTCCACTGAGATGCTCCGAGGGAGCCACCAACATCACAGACAGGGGCTTAGTGACACCACCGTCTGAGGCAACGTGGTCTTCCTTCTTCCTCATTTTAGAAGCCCATGCAAGTCAGTTTCTCCCAATAGCCAGTGGACTTTGGTGTGGAGAAGCTGCTGTGAGCTGCCCGGCAGTGGCCTCGGGCTTCCTGGGGCAACTTTGGCCTGTATTTCCACCTCCGAGGTTCCGACCACTGAGATTTACTCCCCGCATGTTTTTGTAAAAAGCATGCGTGTATACAGTCGGAGGCCAGCGACATCAAATTATCATGATTATCTCTGGGCGATTGGGTTATAGGTCGGTTTTTATTGTTTTATGGTTTCTTTTTTGTGCATTCCGAGATTTCAGCATTAAACGTGCATTGCTCTGTAAACAAAGGAGCTCCATGCTAAGGAAAAAAGAAAGCTGTTCCTGGTTCAGGTGTTGCTGAACTGTTCCTTCTGTCCTTTCCAGCAGAGCCCTGGCTGTGATGGGGCGGCATCTCTTCTGCCCAGGCCCCCGCTGTGCCAGGCGGCTCATGCCCATCCCCTTGTGGATGACTGCCTCAAAGGGACACGTGAAGGGAGTCCCTGGGAGTCTCAGGGAAACCCTTCCTCGTAAAAGGAGACACAAGCATGGGGGCCGCCTCCTCTGGCCAGCTGGCGTCTGCTCCTAACAGAGGCAGTGGTCTTGGAGACACACAAGGGGACAGAGCCAATAGGCTGAAGCTGGCAGAGCAGACAGGGGAGAGGACTCGGGACCTCCATGTCACCTGGGCCTTCTGCCTCCCTGGGGGATAACGCACTTTTCTTATGTTTTAAGTTGTTTCTTAAGATGAGATGGGTTTCTTTCTAGTCCTTGCAACTCCCAGCTGTGCTGTACTGGGGAGAAACAGATCCAAAGGTCTGGCCTCATCTCCACTTACTGAGAAGCTAGCTCAGGGGGTCTGGGCCAGCTCAGTGGAAGAGAGGACACCCAACCTGGATGACATTCCTGCTGCTGCACTGTTGCAACAAAACTTCAAATCCATCAACAGGAAAATACTATCTTTAAAGCTGTTTTTAATACCAAGATCAGAAAAATTACATTTCCCAGCCTTCCTTGGCGCTAGGTGCCCCCATGACACGAAGATATAAGCTGAAGTTGCCCAGGGATAGTGGAGGTGGGCACCGTCACTTGTTTCTTTTTTCCTTTCTCCTGCCTGGAACACGAGCCTGATGGCAGGAGCCATGAAGCCATCTGGTGACTGAGAGGCATAGGCCAGTAACTTGCAGACCTGGCCCTGGCACCTGTGAGCTCAGATTTAGTGCCAGACAATGCTACCTGTAAAACAGCTCATGTCTTGTCTAGGGGACTGTGGTGACACAGCTGGGGCTGGACCTGACCAAGACAGGTGGTAAAATTTAAAGAGACAGACTGGACAGGTTCATCTCACAGCCCTGAGCTTGACAAGATCATACTCTTACCAAAGTTAAGAAGCATTTCCTGAAGAAGAAAGTGGATTTCTATTTTAATCTTTAATTCTAACTTTAGCCAATCATTAAAAAAAGTATGTCCTTGTTTAGAACATGATGAATTCTGGAGAAAGGGTGGAGACTGGTCCTCCAAGCGCTAAAATGCCCGCAGTCTTTTGAGATGACAGCACATTCTTCTGTCGCTGACACTGTCATCCTCATCTTCGGTCAGAGCCCTTGATGCTGCCCACTCCCCTCCCCACACTGAGTGAGGTCCTGGCTTTTCCTGTGCTGAGTTGTGCTGTGACTTTACATAACAAAGTTGACCACAGCCCTCTGGTCAGGTGCCAGGTTCACTCAGCTGACTGGAGCCTGGGGGTTGGACCCCTATGGGCACTGCCCTCTCCCAGGGATGGAGCAGGTGTCAGAGCAGTTCCCACCTGGCTGGGTGTGCAGGTGGCCTCTCCCCTTAGGTCTGCTGGGTGTGGTGGGCTCACACGAGTGGACGCAGCTGCCCTGACCTAGTCTCACCTCTAGGGTGCCAGTCGCCCAAGGGCCCTGCAAGGAGCCTGCCTGCCCTGGACCAACCCAGTGACTCAGTGTATCCCAGGGTGGCTGTCAGTAGCTGGCCTTGGGGCGAGGACCTGTGCCCACCCCAGCAGCCTTTGTCTTGTTACCCAGGGGTGGACTCCCTGCCTCATCTGGCACAGTCTCTGGGCCCCCCCCTCTGGCAGATGGGGCTAAAATGGGTGCCAACTCCCCAGGGTCTGGCCTCCCTCCTCCATTTACTGGATGCTAAATGATAAAGACAAACTGGTACCTGCCCTTTTAGGCAACTTGGAAGGAAAACAAGGAGAGTCAGAGTCACAGAGACTTTGAGGCTGCACAGCCAGAGCTACCAAGGGTGTCATGAGGGGCTGGGGGGTGGGGCAGGGAGAAGAGAGAGTGACAGGGAACATGGGGTGAGGGAGAGGAGAGGATGTGATGGGGAGGCGACACGGGGGAGACATGGTGGGGGGTGAGGAGGGGACATGGGAGGGGAGGGCAGGGGACAAGGTGAGGGTGAGGCAGAGGACAGAGATGTGAGGGCAGGGCCATGAGAGGTCTGGCTTTGGGGGTAGGGGGAGGAAGGCTGAGCCAAGCCTAGAACACAGGCTTTAACAGCCGTCCATCCAGAGCACGAAGGAAGGTTTGAGACCCCAGTCTCAGGCCATGGCAAAAGGAAACTGGGCCCTTGGCGTGGCAGCCCAGGGGATTCCGTGGCTCAGGGAGGCCAGGACCCTGGCAGACAGTGGCACATGTCCTTGTCAGAGCCCTTGTGGGTGTGGACCCTGGGCTCAGCCCTCCCCATGGGCTTGAGGGTCCAACCAGGAATGGGGACAGCTTTCCCAAGCTGGCTCCTGAAATGGCCACGCCTCTCTCCCAGTCTCTCCCCACTCTTGCCCGGATGAGAAATGGACTTGGAGATCACCCATCCCTCTGCCATTCAGAGGAGAGACCCAGCAGAGGAATCTGTACAGTTAGTGGGAGACGCAGGACCCAGAACCACACCTCTGAACAGACCAGAACTTGGACTGGGGTAAAGATCAGGCTGTTTCCACATCAAAGCAGTTCACAACAACGTAAAGAAAGCGGCTATCCAGGGCAGTCCACGGGCACACACGTGCCTGTTTCCTTCAAGCTGTCCTGAGGGGAAATCAGACCCAGAGCAGAGGGTCTGGGGTCCTCACTGCTGTCAGATGCCTGCAGCAGAGCTGAGTGGGTGAGGCAGGCCCCCATGCTCATTGGCCCCATCCAGTGACGTATGGAGGTGGACACAGCCCTTGAGCAGCCCAGGGCAGGCAGCCCGGAGATGGACAGAGGCCGAGCAGAGGAGGCAGGGCAGGCCACTGGGGGCCTTTGTGCACTGAGAGGACTTTGAGGGGCCCTGCGCCTCCCTCCCCTCAAAGGATTTCAGCCCCTGTGGAACTCACATAACGTGAAATCAACCATTTTAAACAGAGCATTCCAGTGGCATTTAGCACATTCAAATGTTGTGCAATCACCACCTCTATTTAGCTCCAACATACTGTCAGCATCCCCCCGAGACAACCCGTATTTGCTCAGCAGTCACTCCCCAAACCCTGCCCCTGCCCCTGGCCAACACCTCAAATGTGCTTGATCATTGTGCAGGCATTCTACATCCTTGTAGCACATGATGAAATAGTTCCTACTTTCCTGCAGTTATCACTGCATTTTCGGCAAAGTTTTATAATTCTCAGTACATTATGAAGGTCAACTGGATCCAATTAGTTTTTGAGTTTCTTTTTTGAGCAGCTATAACAATATGTAATGTTGTCAGGCCAGAGTCTTTCTCTGTTCATCCCTGCAGAGCATGGCCCTCTAGTCACGAAGGGCACATGTTCTCCTCCCCCAGGGGACACAGGAGGCAACAAACTCACCTGTGCTCAGCTGCACTACCCAACTCAAGGGATACAAGTTGCATCTGCAGGAATGGGTTAAAACTATCTATCTTTCAGCAACAACAGTGAATTGGCAAGTAGGACTAGGAAGAGTAGACTGTGCCTATTGATAGAGAATTTTAGAACAGTTTTCCAGAAGATGAGAAGAAATATCCTAGTTCATATCCTGGTTTCAGATAAATGGGCCCTTTGTTCTGAGCCAAAGTTCTTCAAGGTGGCAGAACCATTGGATTCTCAAAAGAAACAACAAAGCAAAGGAAGGAAAGAAGTCAGGCGGTCAGCTAAGGACTTCTGCACATGCCGTTCTGTGGAGAGCCTGGTGCAGGACAGGGCCAGGCAGGGGACCTGTGTCCTTCCATGGAGAGCCTGAGAGACAATGTGGATCCCAGGATTTGCACATCAGGCTGGGCATGCACTGCAGAATCTGTGTTCTAGTTCACCTGCCATACCTGTGTTCTCGTTCACCTGTCCCACCTGTGTTCTGGTTCACCTGTCCCACCTGTGTTCTGGTTCACTGACTACACCTGTGTTGAGCATGGTGCCTTCCACTTCTGCCTGAGATCCAAAGGCAATGGTATAGCTTTTGTCTGAAGGTTCACTCCAAGTGCTTGTGCCTATGGCATCCTCTCACACCTTGTTTTGGAACCACAGCTGCCACTTACCTGTGAAGTAGCTCTTCATCTTCAGGTAGCCCACAATCAGCCTGAGGATGGAGAGCTTGTCGAGCCGGACCTACACATCCTCAGGGAAGGGCAGCAAGTTGGTGAGTTTGCTCAGCTCTTGATTGAGGTGGTCCCGGTGCCGTTTAGAAGGGTTGGACTTAGCTCCCTCTGGAAGCTGTGACTCAGGACTTGGGGGAAGGAGAAAAGTGATCATTATCTCACCTACTCTGTAGTTTCACTCTTGTATCACCCACGGGGCCCCAGCACCACGCCAGGCATTATGTGGCCCAAGTGCCTGGTGTTCTGAGACAGAAACCCTTGTTCTATGGTTTCAGATTCTGCCTGTCCTTAAAGTCCCATTGCAGCTCTGCATTCACTGCCCTCCTGGCCTGGGGGCCCTGGGTGTGAACGAGGCTGCTGCACCCTGCATGTGTGATAGCCCTGGTGGCCCTCAAAGCAGCAGGGGCCCAGGGACTGGCCATCCCTTCCCACTTTCCTGGGGCCTGACACGTTTGCATCCATATGCAATTTTTAAATTAGGAAATCTCTACACAACTATTAACACTGAAAAGACTGAAACTCCATTTAGGAAGCTATAGTTTATTAAGAATTGAGCCTATGCACACACATAAACATATACTCAATACATATACAGATGTATGCTCTCTTCTCTCTCTCTCTTTTCCTCTCTCTGTGTCTGTATTATAAATATACATGTATCACACATACACACGATCTCTCTCCATACACATAAATTAAAAGCATATATATATGTATACACGTATACACACACACACACACACACACATATACATATACTCTTTCTCTATCTAATCTCCCATCACCAAAATGCAGGAAATAATTCCCTTCAGATGTAATAAAAGATTTCAAGTGTAGCTTTGAAAGAATAGCTGCTGGACACTCCCCCCTGGGCACTGCATTCCTGTGTCCCATGCTTACCCCTCAGGGCTCAGCACTGACCCACTGGGTTGGGGTGGGCCGGTTATTATTTCAGAGACCCTCATGAGGAGTTAGTTCTCCAAAGTAGCAAGGCTAAAGCTACTTCCATCAGCTCACCTCCAAAGTACAAGAGTATCACCCTCTAGAGAGCAGTGGCAAGTTTGAAACACTGGTAAGCAAAAGATACACCTTTTTAAAAGGCAAACATTTAGAAGAAAAAATGCTCTACTTAACTTATTCTTTCTAGAGGCAAAAATGAATGAAGCTATTTCTACCTCATTTATAAAAGAAGGTGATGGTTCCCACCTCTCAGGGCTGCTGAGCAGGAAACATCCATCTTGGGCCAGTACACAGCAGGTGCTCAATGCAGGCGCACCTTTTTGTGATAGGATATTAAAACTGCAGCTTCCCAGGGATTCCAGCTGAGCTGACAACACTCCAGGGCATAAGCATAACAAAAGGAGTCTCAAGAACTAGTTTCACAACTCCTGGCCCCAGACTCAGGGGATATAAAAGGGCCAGGAAGAGAAATTTCCCTGGAAGAGGGTTGCACTATGATCCCCACCCCTCTCACTGCTCCCCAAATGGAGCTGGAGAGACTAAGGAGCCTGAGGTCACAGTGGACCAAGCAGGAGAGAGGACCCCGAGAGCTGTCCCAAGTCCTGCTCAGGAACACTCGGGAAAGGTGAGGAGACACCCAGCATTCTTGTGATAAGGAAGAAGCACCCTCCTCCTCTCCTGGGGCCCAGCATGTGTGTGTGTGCATGTGTATCTGTGCATGTGCATGTGCACTTGTGTGTGTGCATGTGTGTGAGACAGGCATTGTCCACCCCCTCCCCCTTGCAAGTAAGTGGCCAGCCCCAAGCGGGGGGTGGGGCCTTAGTGAAGGTAAGAGTTTTAATTGCTCTGGGGAAGCCAGCTTTCTAATTCCTAAACAAGACTTTGCCACTAATGACAACCTGGGGTCTGTCTCTTTATTACACAAGAGTGAGCAGGAAGCATCCTGGAACCTGCCCTGTTTTAACCCAGGACCAGAGGGCAGTGTCTCTGTGAACATTTTGAAAAGCCACTGGGAGACAAGTTGATCACATCACCCAAGGTGGATCAACCTGGTGTGTTGGTGATACATTCTCTCTTCCTCAAGTCCTAGCAGTTTCAGAGCTACCAGCAAATGACTTATAATATTCTTAATTCGAAACTTAATTAAATAGTATTAAGAGGTATATTAACACTCCAGACCAGAAGGAAAATGACAAGCACCCAGAAATCAATCCTGAAGGCACAGAAGTTTACAATCTAGATGACAAAGAATTCAAAATGGCTATCATAAAACAACTCAATGAGAGTTACAAGAAAACTCAGACAATTCAGTGAAATCAGGAATAAAATTAATGAACAGAGGGAATTCTTCACAAATGAGATTGAAACTATAAAAAAAATCAGAAAAGTTGGAGATGAAAAACACAATGAATGAGATAAAGAAAAATATAGAGTCCTTACATAACAGAGCTGATATTATGAAGGACAGAATTAGCAATTTAGAGGAGAGAAATATAGAAATGCTTCAGATGGAGGAGGAGAGAGAACTAAGACTAAAAAGAAATGAAGAAATTCTCTGAGAAATATCAGACTCAACTAGGAAATGCAACCTAAGCATTATAGGTATTACAGAGGGAGATGAGAGGGAGAAAGGAGCAGAGAGCTTGTTCAAAGAAATAATAACTGAGAACTTCTCAAACCTGAGGAAGGAGCTGGAATTATAAGTAAATGAAGCCAACAGAACTCCTAATTACATCAATGTAAAAAGACCTTCTCCAAGGCATACAGTAGTAAAACTGGCAAAACTAAATGACAAAGAAAAACATTAAGGGTAGCAAAACAGAAGAAAATAACCTACAAAGGAACCCCCATCAGGCTTTCAGCAGATTTCTCAGAAAGAAACCTTACAGGGTAGGAGAGAGTGGAATGAAATATTCAAAATTCTGAAAGACTAAAGCTTTCAGCCAAGAATACTCTATCTAGTGAAAATATCCTTCAGATATGATAGAGAAATAAAAGCTTTCTCAGATAAACAAAAGCCGAGGGACTTCATAGCCACAAGACTCCACCTACAAGAAATGACCAAGAAGGCCCTCATATCCAGAAAAAAAAAAAAAAGAAAGAAATGGATTACAAAGCCCTGAGTAAGGAGATAAATAGGCAGACAAAATGAAAATTGCAGCTCTCTATCAGAACAGGTTAGCAAACACTTAATTATAACATTAAAGACAAAGATGAAAAACATCAAAAATAACTAAAATCACTTCATTTTAATCACAAACTCACAACACAAAACAGAATAAGTTGTGACAACAATAACTTACACAGGGAAGAAGAAAGGGATGGAAATTGCTTAGAGTAAGGAAATAAGAGGCTATCAGAAAATGGACAATCTCATTTATGAGATCTTTTAAACAAACCTCATAGTAACCACTAAACAAAAAATCAGAACAAATGATAAATAAAGAGAAAACTGAGAAAACCATCATAGAGAACCAACAAACTGAATTGGCAGTCGGAAATACATGGGATGAGAAACAAGGAAAATACAGAACAACCAGAAAACAAGTGATAAAATGGCAGTATTAAGCCTTCATATGTCAATAACCACTCTAAATGTAAATGGATTGAATTCTCCAATCAAAAGACACAGAGTGGCTGGCTGGATTAAAAATCAAGACCCAACAATATGCTGCCTCCAGGAAACACATCATAGCTCTAAAGACAAACACAGGCTCAGAGTGAAGAGATGGAAGATGATACTCCAAGCTAATGGTAAACAAAAAAAGAAAGAAAGTAGGTGTTTCCACACTTATATCAGACAAAGTAGACTTCAAGAAAAAAAGGCAATGAGAGACAAAGAGGGGCAGTATATGATGATAAAAGGAACACTCCACCAAGAGGACATAATGATTATAAATATATATATGCACCTAACACAGGTGCACCAAAGTACATAAAGCTATTCACAGACTTGAAAGGAGATATTAACAACAACACAAGAATAGTAGGGGACCTTAACACCTCACTTACACCAATGGATAGATCATCCAGACAGAAGTCAACAAGGAAATAGTGGAATAAACAAAAAAATAGACCAGATGGACATTATGTGTGTGTGTGTGTGTATAGATAGATAGATAGATAGATAGAACAAAACAGCAGAATACACATTCTTCTCAAGTGCACATGGAACATTCTCAAAGATAGACCATATGTTGGGAAACAAGGTCTTAATAAACTTAAGAAGACTAAAATCATATGAAGCATCTTTTCCGACCATAATGCTATGAAAATAGAAATCAACTACAATAAAAAAGCTGAGTAAGTGACAGGCGGAGATTAAACAACATGTTGCTGAACAACCAATGGATCACTGAGGAAATTAAAGGAGAAATCAAAAAGTATGTGGAGATAAATGAAAATGAAAATACACCATACCAACTCATATGGGATGCAGCAAAAGTGATCCTAATGTCAAATAAGCAATCTTAAGCTACACCTAACAAAACTGGAAAAAGAACAAAAAAAGCCCAAAGTCAGCAGAAGGAGAGAAATAATAAAAATTAGAGCAGAAACAAATGAAATTGAAACAGTAGAAAAATCAATGAAACTAAGAGCTGGTTCTTTGAGAACCTAAACAAAATTGACAAACCCTTAGCCAAACTCTAAAAAAGAAAGATAAAAGCCTCAAATAAATACAATTAGAAATGAAAGAGGAGAAATTACAATGCATACCACAGAGATACAAAGGATTATAAGAGAATACTATGAAAAACTATATGCCAACAAATTGGACAATCTAGAAGAAATGGACAAATTCTTAGACTCATACAATCTCCCAAAACTGAATCAAGAAAAAATAGAGAATCTGAATAGACCAATCACAAGTGAAGAAATTGAAACAGTAATCAACGCCCCCCCCCCCCCCCGCCCCCCAAAATAAAAGTCCAGGACCAGATGGCTTCTCTGGAGAATTCTACCAAACATTCAAAGAAGATTTAATACCTATTCTTCTCAAAATATTCCAAAAAACTGAAGAAGACAGAACACTTCCTAACACATTCTACAAGGCCAGCATCACCCTGATCCCAAAGCTAGACAAGGAAAACAAAAAAGAAAAATTATAGGCCAATATTGCTGATGAACATAGATACAAAAATCCTTAACAAAATATTGGCAAACAAAATACAGCAATACATTAAAAGGATCATACGCTATGATCAAATGAGATTTAATGCAGGATGCAGGGATGGTTTGACATCTGCAAATCAATCAATGTGATACATCACAATAACAAAATGAAGAATAAAAACCACATGATCATCTCAATAGATGCAGAGAAAGCATTTGACAAGATCCAACATCTATTTATGATAAAACTCTCGACAATCTCATAGCCAACATCATACTTAATGGGGCAAAACTGAAAGCCATCCCTCTGAGAACAGGAATGAGACAAGGGTTCCCACTCTCACCACTCTTATTCAACACAGTACTGGAGGCTTTGGATAGGGCAATTAGGCAAGAAAAAGAAATAAAAGGTATCCAAATTGGTAATGAAGAAGTGAAACTCTTGCTGTTTGCAGAGGACATGATTCTATATATAGAAAACTGTAAAGAAT